TTTAATAATTCTACTGTCCCAGAAAAGTGAACAAGCTATAAGTAGGATTCTTTTAAATTTATTTAAATAAATATATTTTTTTAATTAAAAAAAAAAAGAACAATTATCTTACTATTTTAAAATCTTCACTATCTAATAAAGCATCACCTATTTTTTCAGTAATATCATATTTATATTGTAAAGATTTATCCCTAATATCAGCTTTTGAAATATTAGCTATTTGATCTTTCTGAAAATTCTTGAAAATAGCATAAGAAATTAAACTCTCTTCCTACAAGAAAATAAATATTCATGAATATTTATGTTTTTCCAAATTATTTATCACATTTATAATATGAAAATTTACCCATGATAATAATGTTTCATTTGAGGGTGTATTAATGAATGCCCATTCTGCTTCAGATGTACTTAAACAAGTATCTTCGTATTCTAATTCGGTTATTTTTATGAAAGCTCTAATGTTTTCATCTTTCGTTATCGCGATCACAGAAACTATTAGATTAACGATTATGCAAACCCATTTTGATAGCATCCCTTTGCACTAAAAAAATATCATTTTTCATATAAATAAATTAAATATTTATTAGATAAAAGATACATGAAAATATTAGAATATAAAATTGTTAAAATTTATTTAACACTTCGACGAGAACTTATAAAATGTTCGTATATGATATTTTAAAATATTATGATTTTTGACGTATTAATATAATTTTTAAATTTTAATATTAATATATATCAAAATTAAATAGTTTATTATTCTATTATAAAAATATATTGAAATATATTAAAAAATGATTGCTTCTAAAAATTTTGTTCATATATATATATATATATATATATATTCATGTATTATGTATTTGTTGATTCTATCATATATTAAAATATTTACATTTAGATATAATCTAAGGAGACATGTATATATAATATATATCGTAAATTCGTTCACGAATCATAAATTAAAGTTATCATTCAATATTTTTAATTCAATTAAAAATATATGTAAATAAAACAAAGCAAGAACATTTGTAAAAGATTACGCGTATGCGATTGTTGCATCGTTTTTCCGAATTATATTTTTTTTCATTTCATTTCACTGATTAATACTTATATATTAATATATTTTTGTAAGTACATTATTGTAAATATATTTTTGAATAATATACTTGATGCATTTAGTCATCAAAACAGTTAGTCATTCCTAAAAATGAATCACTAATTATTCAGTAAAATACGTCATTCTTTTCTAAAACTTCAGGTATTTATATCACATATTTATATATTTGATATATTATACATATTTGATATATACATATTTTTCTAATGTGCATTTATTAATTGTTGGTAAGATTTCGTGGAAAAATAATCAGATGATAAGTTATAAGTCAATATAATTTAACGATCATGAATCGACCAATTGCTGATTGTCTATAGTCACACCACATTCGTACGTTTAATTGCTTTCAATTCAATGCTTTATCTGAATAAATGATCGCGATTATAAAGATAGTTATGATGATTTATTGGTACATTAACCCAAACGATCATCGATCATTCTTTTATATTTTGACAACATTATTTTTGCATTACTAATAGAAAAATTAAATGTATATCTAACCTATTTTCAATGAATGAAAATGAATTTATTTACAATTACTTTTAATTATTTTATTTAATCATTGCTACTAACTACATTTATTTTTTTTGTATTTTTCTTCCACTTTTATTTTTTAACATGTTATCAATGCAATAATATTCATGTGAAAATTATTCATTATTATCTTATTTATTCCGAATTAATATCATTGTTCAATATTTATTTTTTATTTTCTAGCACAAGATTATAGTAAAAATTTAAAATTAAATTTAGAGGATAAATTAATTCATTAAATTTACTTCTATAAAAATATATGTATTTTTTTAATGTATTGTATGTTTAAGTATGTTTAAATTGTGTGAAAAATATTGACCAAAAGACAATGAAAAGTCTATCGATAAATAATACATTTCGTTCCCGTATATAAAGGTCATCATATATTATAAATAATGTTCATCTATTTATTAAATCATTTTTTTAAATCACAATTATAATTTTATATTGAAATTTAACTAAAAGTTTTTTTTAAGTTTTAATTTTAATTTTACTTTATGTGTACTAGTATATTATAAATTAATAAATTTATTATCATTATTAATAAATAATGCATTATTTTTAATATATTATTATAACTTGTGATTAAATTGCAATTCTTAATAAATTTTTAAGTTATTGTATATGCTCAAAAATAACTTAATTTTTGCACAACAACAATAAATTTAAGCATCATTCATATTTATCGTGAATTTAAAGTACAAATTTATGTATTAGCGTTAGTATGTACAATAGCGTTGTATATACAATATTACATTACGATTTAGATACGAATTTCAATATTAATATCTAAATACAATGTTCATTTATTTCGATAAATATATAGATATCATAATAATGACCGCGAAAATTCGAATTATATGAAATTGTTTTTAAAATAGTCCAACAATTATATGTATTAGAGATTACAGTCATTAGAGATTGCTTTAAAGAGATAATACTTTTATTTTTTTGATATCATCATTACTGATTCAATTGCAATAATTTTCTTTTTAATTTTTTCAAAATCAAATATGTTCGATGTAAATTTTTTTTATAAATCTATATATAATTTTATAATTTATAAAATTTTATTATAAATAAACTGATAAAAACAATTTGAAAATCAGATTACGAATTCAACTTTAAATTTTTTTTAAAATTATTTACGTTGTTCTTAAATTAAGTGTCTAAAATAAATGGCCAGTTTATTCAAAGTACGAAGAGTCAATTTACACTTGGATCAATGTCAAAAGAACATATTTAGTTTAACTTTTGATTTTGCTTACCTTTCCTAGCCGAGCGTCGCTTCGCTCGACGTACACGTTTTCGATTTTGTTTCTGATAAGATTCGATATATGCAACGAACAAAGATCAACTGCACTTTAGAATGAATCCGGCAAGTAGAGAATGAGTGAAGGTACGTATACAGAGAGATGATTTATGTCTTTCTCGTTTAGAACACTTTTATTTTAGAAGAAATTAAAAATTCAATTATAAGGGTTAAAATTATTTTAAAAAATATAAGACGAATTAGATCGAATGCAATTATGCATAATAAATCGACTATTTGATTTTTATCTCACTGTAAATAATACATAAAATATCGTTCATACACTATTTTATATGATTATTTGTATAAAGTTCGCACGATCTAAATTCTTTCACATCATTCCACTTGCTTCTATTTGCGTACTATAACGTGTGACGTGACATGCAGTCATCGAAAATATATATTAAAGATCGTACATCTTCTAACTATTTTGTGATCTTTGTTAAGTAGAAATAACATGTGCAGATAAAAAAGTAATCTATTAAAAGTAGAAATCTATATTGTATAGTTTTATTCACTTTTCTATTCTAACATAATAATGTTTTGAAATATATATGTATCATAGATAAGATATAAAATAGAAGAATTATTTCATTACAGATGATTATATAAAAAAGATTATTTAATACATTTTCTTTAATTGAGTTTCGAAAAATTTAAAACATCTTTATCATTTTAATGTCATTTTTGATAATATCGATGGAAGATAGAATAAAATTGCAATATTGATAATGGTTAAAAATTAAATTTTAATGTAAAATTATAAATAAAATATGACACAATATCCCATAATCCAATAAGTTATACAATTATGTAACGAAGTTAATCAGAAATGAACATCATCTTTTGAGTGCATGAATTTTATTATTAAGATGGCATTCTATCAAGAATTTTTTATTTCTTTTCTATAAAGAATTAGAAATAAGGAAAACAAATCATAAAAAAAGAATAAAAATAAGTTAAAAATAGTGAAATCAGCGCCATCTCTGGAATGCTTTAAATAAAACAAATAGACAAGAAGAGTAAACAATAGAAGAAGGATAGGTATAAAGAATTAACTATCAATGCCATCTCTTAAGATGAAAAAGAAATTTTTCTAAAAGAAGATAAAATTGCATAAGAATTGACCATCAGCGCCATCTTCTGAAAACTTTCAAAAATATATATTTACATTCAAGAGATGGCGCTAATCAAATTTTTATTCTACATAACAATTTCTTATTCTATTCTTCTCTCATTAACAAGAAATTCTATGGAAATATATTTATAATATACATTAAAAAATATCAATCTCAAAAAAGATCAAAGTTTCTTATGCCATCTAATATAATGTAATCTAATATGTAAAATATGTGCACAAAATTAAATCATTTAAAAATATATTTATATATGTATTCCATAAATTTAGAAACTGAAATGAGAATATCATTTTAATAATAAAATTTCTACCTATAAAAAATATAATCGCGCTTACATCTATTAGTTTATTAGACAATGATATATAATATTTTTATATATTAAATAATAATGATTTCTATCATTTGAAGATTGCTAGATTAGAGATCTATTCCGAACGTTCCATCTATCACAGTATATATTTGCAAAACATTCAATTTTTTTTGTTCGTTGTTGCATAAACAGCAAAAAAAGTTTTGTAATAAGATGAATTAACACTCATTGTCATTGGTCTAATGCTTGCATAATCCTGCTGATCGCTTTTAAAATGAATCTTTAGAATTCTTATTATCCTTATTAATAATAATTGAAAGAACTTGAATCAATGAATATCGTTTCTTTTTTTTTTGTTAAATTTTATTTATTTACTAAATACAAAACTATTCATTTATATCACATAATAAACTATATATAGTACATATACGGGAATGATGCAAGATCTTATCATAAATATTATTTAAAAACGTATATCAGATCGTACATGTAACGATTTTTCTCGTAAAATGCATAATCTACAGACAAAAAAAAAAAAAGAAAAAAAAGAAAACGATACGTATATAATAATATGATATTTTGTTTTCTTCTTCTCCTGTTAATGTAAATAATGAGACTTACATCAATTTAAGAATGTCGAACACAAGATGAAATTCACGTCTCGGTCATTCAGAAATGATATATATTATATCTTATAAGCATATAATTTTTTATTTTTGAATTTCTCTCATCACGTATTCTTATTTTCTTCATCGCATTAATATCAATAGTTTGGAAATAATATACGCAAGTAGCATTTGTAATACTGATACGCTTGAACAGATATAAATCTGTTCCACATTGTCTATTGTTACCATTTATTTATTAAGTACCGGAGACTGTTTGTACTAGGACTTGAAATAAAGGATACTTATTTTCGAATAAATGAATAATCGAATAAAATTAATTTAAAAGATATTATATAATCAATCTATTTGCTTTATTATTCAAATCGAATGAATAAAGTTATCCTTTATTTAAAGTATATTTTCCAAGCTGAGTAAGTGGGTGACGTTATTTATTATTAAGATTTTAATTTATCTCTTTCCTTCTTTGGTCTTTTCCAGACAGTACAGAGACGTCTTTAAAAATGTCTGTATGTATTGTCCTAAAAATTGTTTTAAAAATCTTTTTAAAAGAAACAAATTTCCAATCATAAAATTATCGTTAATTATATTACAAACTTTTAATTCGAGATTCATAACAATGCTTTCATATAACATTCTTAATCATCAGACATTTTTAAAACGTTTAGATCATTTTTAAGATATTTCAAATATAAAATGATTGTAAAATGGACACCTTTAAGACATTCGTGTACCATGTAAACACGTATACAGTGCACGATTATATTTCTAATTATTTTTTTTCTTCTCATATTTATATTTTGTACGTTAAATGAAAAATTTATTAAGAAGCTATTCCTTTCGGTATAATTTGCTTTTTATAAGATGTGATTCTTTCATTTCTTTCCTCATTCTTTCAAGTTTTTCTACTATGATTACGCGATCGAATATTATTACGTATTTTGTAATAATAAATTATTCGTTATAAATGATCTGATTCGAAAGCTGCGTTCGCAATGCCGTTCATCGTAGGAACTTCCGGTTTTTTCTCGTTAACAACTTGCCATTTTGCAATCTTCGAATCGTTCTCCTCTTCCTTGCTCTTCGCTTTCTTCTCTTGTTCCAGTAATTGACGATCTTTTCTATGCTCGGTATACAGCCAACTGTTCATAAAAAAAAGTATAGATAATTAGTAAATAGAATTGAATTAATAAAAAAAAAATTATTGAAAAATTATTCATTCATTTATCCTTTATCAATTTTGTTGGCTAATAGATAATATAATTATTAAATTTGATATATTTATTATCAAATTATATATTTAATTAATTTAATATTTTGTAGACATTTTTTATAGATTAATATATTTTACATACTTACATATAATCGAGTATTCTTATTGCATAAAATATAGAATGAAAATTAAATGAAATACTCTAAAACTGTCGAGCAATTTAACCCAAATTCTTGTAAATCACTTACTATCCAATATAAATTGAAGACAAAATAGTAGCCATAAAAAGTATTTACACATCATTTTATTTATCATAGAATTTGCATACTAATTAATCGATATTGGTTCAAACATTTTGCAAATATTATATTTTTATATTATTTAATAATAGTTTTATATGCGAAAAATTTTAATATTATGGAAATAATAGAATAATATTAAAATTGACAAAAAAAAAGTTTTAATCGAAAACTTATAGAAATACGTGTAAATAGTTTTTGTAATTGTTATATCTTTCTCTTTCAATAGTTTTTATGCTCTCTAAAACTAATTATTCCAATGGATAAAAAAAAACTCACCAGTCAATATTCGATAGAAATAATAAAAAATATTGAAACGATAGCCGCGAGACTGTTGCCTCGAGTGATGCAACCGGAAAGACTTACAAGAACGCGGCGACTGCTGGCATGGTCATACAGGCGCCAACAATAAAGAACGTTCCTGGAAATGTTTTCATGGTTGCAGCATAAATGGAGCTGTACATTGGCCCGTAGATAAGTGGCATTAGAGATTCGCAGACGCCAAGCAACGAATTCACTTTTCCTGTAAATCAATGAAAAATAAAATAAAATTTCGTTGTTTCCTAATTTATATATTATATTATTTTCGATCATGTTCAATATCATATCCCTCGTTATGTAAAATCAAGTAACGTAAGTATCAAGAGAAATAAAATAGAAAAATGAAAAAAATGATCGTAAGAATATTTTTAAATAAACAAGAAATAGAAAAATATTGTGAAGCGAAAGAGAACTTTATGGAAAATTGGATGGAATATAATTGTTGTCAATTTGACACGAACAATACAATGAAAGATTATCTTATCTGCACGTTTCTGAAAAAATATACAAAAATAACGATTAGAGCGAAGATTGTATGTCACTTGACCAATTTAGTTTTTAATTTCTGTTACTCAATCATAATTATATATAGTAATTATAAAAGATATATATATATATATATATATATAATGTAGAATAATAACATTTTATAAGAAGCTTCGTTTTATAAAATTCTATCAAGTACACATGTACTCGCGCATGTTGTATAGGATACTTTAAAACAGTGGTTCTCAACACAGTGGTTCACAAAACATTTATTTTTTTAGGGAATCGTTGCCATCATCCTTTTCTTAGCACTTATTTAGTTTAATTATACATTCTATAGAAATATTAGGATAATCCTTTCGTTATTTAATTCAAATTAACTATCATTATTTATTTCATAGGGAAGAAAATCGTATTAATTCAATTATTTTTTTTATTTTATTTAAGAAAAGAATTACTAGTTATGTAAATATTACAATTCATAGAAAATTGATAAACGAACGTCCAACTGAATTATATCACTCTTGACACATATTTCTGATAATGTTTAGAAATTAGACACGAGTCAAAAGACACGAGATCCAATTTGGTCAATCAACGATTCGAGAATTAAGGAATACGATTTTTTATTAAAAACGAATTATGAATGATTTACTATGTAATATCATTTATAATTTCGTTTTTTCATTCAAATCAGTGGAATTTATTTATTACGTTTCATTACGTAATTTTATTATTATAATTCTTAAATTTATATAATTCTTTTTATCGTTTTGCAATTTATATCAAACATTTATATCGAATTTATAATATTTTTATCGCATCTGTAATAGCATCATTCCATTATGTGTATAATTTCATGTTAAATATGCGTGCAATTACGTTATGTAAATCGAGCGTAAATATTTTATTAATTACGTTTGTGTGTATCCTATTGCAATCAAGTTCACGTAACGGTATTTGTTACATGTTGTTCAAGTAAAAGAAAAAAAAAAAAAAAAAAAGAAAAAAAAAAAGATAGGATAATTTACATTCACTTACCAAGTTCTCCAGTCGATACAAGTTTTGATGCTATCGATCGCATTGCTATAAAAGATGTACCGTTTACTATCTCGACGATAGCCGCTGAAACGAGGCAAAAAACAAATCAATTCTTTTTTCTTTTTACTTTATCAACCATTTTTCAATTTTGTTTTCATTTTGTATACGTCGTATATTTATAAAAATAAAAATATTTCTAGAAATATGTGCGTTTAAGATAATTAAGATGCTGTTAATAGATAGTAGATATTTATTGTTTGTTAATTCAATCTCTAGTTACCTAAATAGATCATCCAATCTGTTATGGCAAACGCGTAAACGAAACCAGCTAAAATTTTGCTCATGGAACTCATTATTCCAACAATGGCGTCATCGATTTTTAAAATGTGACTGAACACACCGACGGATATCGCAGTTCCTGTAAATATAAAGAATTGCACTTTTAAAATGTGTTAAAATTACAACATTAAATAATTAAAATATGTTGAAGAGAAATCAAAGTTCAAGGATTAAAAATTTATTTAAATATTATTTAAGTAGTAATATATTTTGAACATAAATTATTTTGATATTTGTTATTTTCTTCCATACTTAATTTGTGCATTTATATATGTTATGTGCAAATTTTATTATATTTTTTAATTTTTATGGTGATAAAATTGTCTTTTTATTGTTTGAAATAATCAAATATTTAATAAATAAATCATTTAAAAATAATACATTGTCATTGTAATAAGATTTATTTGTGAATATTCTTATTTTAACAAAAAAAAATATCAAACGCATCTCTATCATATAAAATTTCTGCTGGAACGATTAGTAATAATTTTGCTTGATTGGAGTACTTTCTTAGCAATTTTTTGTATCTTTTTGTTTCTTTCCAAGGTTACGATTACGAGATCGATGGCTTTGTTCAATAAACGCGGCCTTGTAATTATGGGTTTTCTCTATCATTTGCTCGAAAACGATTGTCGAGAATTCCGCTTGGCAACAACAACTTCATTATATAATTTATTCTATAATTCATTGTTGTTTTTGTTGTGAACGAAATAAATAGAAAAAAATAAATAAATAATAAAAAAAAAATGAGCAACAAAATTTTTTGAAAAAAAATTTATTAGAAAAATAACAATAGACAAACTTATTGCATGTCTATTTTAAAATCTTCTTTACTCTAATAGAGATGAGAAATGAAAGAATTTAATGAGAAAATTTTATTTAAAAAATTGTCACTCAACAGAAAATATTTACTTATACTTATTATACTTTTTAAAAAAATGTATCTTTTTAGAAATGAAAAAGATGCGCGTCTAATTTAATTGAAATTTTTATCGGGAAAAGTTTCATCTTCATAAAAACAAGTTCACAAGTTATGCACTTTGTACATGAGATTGCATTCTGATGTGCAATTATAGATAACAATAAAATAGAATCTCTTAGAACGTAAGATTTTATGCTCTCATATTAATTCCTCTATTTTTTCTTACGTTTTTTTTTTTTTTTTTTTAATCCGTTTAAAAACGTGTTCCTGCATCCTTCATAAATAATCACGTTTAACTCTGATACTAATAGAAAATGAACTGTTATTACGAAAATTGTCCATGAAACAAGGCTTCTTTAATCTTGTCGACTACTATTTATTCGTATAAACAATGATAAATACTAATGTTAAAATAATCGCCGATCATACAAGATTTGAAGATTTATCCAACTTACCGATTAAATTTGTCACCATTGCAAACGTGGTAAACATACTGAACATAACTTCGTTCCAATGATATCTGTATCTCATGTAAAGATACATCACCGCCATTTCACCTGTAACGACAACAAAATATCTATCATATCTATCTTTTAATCTTTAATCTTATTTTATACTTCACTTGAAATATCCCTCCTCCTCTCCTTCTCCCCTCTTCCCTTCTCCCGCCCCCCCCCAAAAAAAAAACAAAAACAAAAAGAAAAGACACAAGAACTTTAATTCTCTTCCAAATAAATGAAAAGTAACAATAAGTGTGCATTGACAATTTGAATTCCAAATAACAAGGACAACAATTTAATTTAATTTACTCTAAGCTACGGCCATCGTGCGTATTGTAACTTCGTGATCTACAATGTTCTAAATTCAATGTGGGTGGAACGATTCCGCTTGCACAGCATGAAAGATCATGGTCAAAACGTTTTTCAGAATTGGCAGCTCGTACCGCTACCTCTGGCAATGTTGCTTCATCCGTTCGCCGTATGTAATGGGCTTCGAAGTTGAAAATAACACGCGGAAGATCGTTTAACCCTTTCGAAAGAGGTTTCTTTCAACGACGAATATATCGAGATTCGAGGGAAAAAATTAGGGAATATAGGAAAATTTAATTCAACTTCAAAAAATGAAAGCTCAAAAAAATTTTCGAAACTTTTTGCTATTTTTTTTCAATTTTTGAACCTTTCCTTTCACCATTGAATTGATAATAATTCAATCGTGTTTGTGTTTAGAGTTTGGATACGTTTTAATTGATACGATTCACTGAATCTTTCTTCTTCAAGAGATCTTCGAAGAATCGAAAGTTTTTTATTTTTATGATTATGAAATTGTGTTGGAGAAATTTTCAGTGCTTGTTTATTTCACAATATTAATGGATACTAAAATTTAATAAAAGGAAAGGAGGTGATTTAATTAATTCTTTTTTTTTTTTTATTCTTGCGAGAGAAAATAATGATTTGAAGAAATTTATAATATTACGTGTGCAAAATTCAGCTACATCATGTTAACAACAATAACAAAATCTTTACTCGCTCTATTGTATACATCATATTACTTTGGCGTTTCGAAAATTACTTATTTTCAGAAGAAGCATTTAAAAATGCTGACTTTATCTTATCATCACTATTCTGCAAAACGATTGAGTCGTCATTGTAACATTTACTTGTATATATTTTTTACCTTGTACTCCATTTTTCATAATTTGAAATTCAAATTTTCTCCACAATCATTCAAGTTTTAAATTTTCAAATAATTTTTTAATAGCTCTCCCATTAAAAAAAAAAAAAAATAATTTCATTTCTGATACATTCCACCAATTCCTCGACTTTCAAGAGTAATTAGAGTAATGTTACATTACTGAACATTTATAAATTGTTGGAAAAACATAAATATATAGGAATTATTTTAAAATTTCGAATTATTAAGCTGCATTACATTAGGAATATGCACATACGTGAGCGTTACACAACAAGCATTGCGACTACTAATTGTTTCCGTCGAGTTTAGGTTATTATCACATCATTGCTTTGCTTTTCTCACGAGCATTTTTTTTCATCAAATACAATTCTTGGATTCCTGCATTATCGATCGATTCATCTTTCAAATTTTTTTTTATATAATAGGATGAATATGAACTTGGATCAAGTTTGAATTTATCGTTGGGAAATTTTCTTCGCACGATATGATTAAAATATAACTATAATAATGAATTTATATGTAAATTGATATGATTAAAGTATAACTAAAAAATTGTAATAATTAATTTATATGCAAATTATGAATATTATGGTTCTTCCAATATATATCATATATTTAAAATTTTTTTTTATTCAAAGAATTCTAATGATAAGAAAGAAAAAAGCAAGTAATAAAAATAAAAAAATTGTTCTTACAACCGTTATTTATCGTATATATTTCTTGTTTTTCTTAATATTTTTTCGAATTGAATTATTTTTATTCAGATAGACATTAATTTACAAAATTGTAAATTTTTTAATTTTTCATTTATATATACATACGAGAAAAAGTTATCGATTTATAGTAAAAAAGTGAAAAAGGAAGAAAAAAATTTACAAGAATAGCCAAAAATTGTCGGATAGAATCGGCCACGTTTCTTTCCGCGAAACTTGCCAATTATCTTATTGTTACCAATAATCTGATTTGCATAATGTCTGCAATTTTGTAACATTGTTTAGTAAGAGGATTCTATTAGAAGAAAATAGCTGAAAATAGCTTGGAAATTGTTTCAAGTGATGAAAAATATATAAATTAAAGCATGCACAGTTGAAACAAATGAAATTACCGTATAATTATCGATTATCAATCAAGAAATGACCGATTCGAATTTAATTTTCTTTCTTATCGCTCAATTAAATTGTATCTTTCTGTATTCCTCATATTGAATGTAATTACGAAATTAACAATTTTAATAACCGTGAAACCATACCGTGAAGTTTTTAATTGAGTCCTGTATTTTACCATTCTATTTGAATTATCTTCAATTTTGTTGACACGTTGTAATGTATGATTATTTTCAAAATATAAAATTTTAAATTAAGATATAAAGCAGATACATTGATTGATGTGATATCTAAAAAAATATACGCATCGTACAATTTGATCCTTAAAATGTTAATTATTATTAATATTTGTATAAAAAGTACAATGATACTCGCTATTACTCGCTATTTTTTTAATTCTCCATGGAATTTTCTTTAATTGTATAATTGATTTTCAAACAAAATCTTCTCATCAATCCCAATTAATACTACTCCAACCATAATGCAAATAATTTGAAATTAATGCTATAAACATCGTGAGTAATTTTCTTGAATAGATCTTAAAAAAAAATTCTAATCTGATTTTTTTCTCTTTTAAAATTGTTAATTTCTTGGATTTTAATGATTCCAAACTTCGATGCACAGGGTATGTAAATTTTGATCGATTTTATAACCTCGTTATATCGTAAAAGTCACTATAACCGTTCAAACTATACCGATTTCCGACGGTCAAAGATCTGAAATTACATCAAGCTACTTAGGCCATCAGACCGCATTAGCATACGTGCGCACAGAATCTAGTTCTAATAGGTGTGTTGACTTCACACACCCACTACCGGTCATAAATCTTAGATCGCTATCTTTGTTGCCGCTACACTTTCTACATTTAAGATTTTTCTGTTTCAGGATTAATAGGCCTTTCGAATAAATTGACCCTTTGAGAACCGATTATCACTCGTCGAATTCGAAGGCAAATACAAAATTTAAATAGATAAAATTAGATAAAATTTTTATCCTAGGCAAATTATCCTTATCCTTTATTGAAAAATTTTATGAAATATATATCGAGATTTAACGAAATAAAATTTTAAAGTAATTAAACATCAAATTTATTGGAATTAATTTTTATAGAAAATAGATAGGGCAAAAGTTGAATTTCTACTATTATTAAGAATGAAGAAATATTATATAAATTCTTCCTTCTCGAGATATTTTCCAATTATAATGGAATGAAGCTTCATCCATTATGGAGTAGTAAGAATGTTGAAACTTATTTACAGAAATTGTTGAAAATAATTTTCCTTCTGGAACAATACATGATTCGCAATTAATGTTTAACGATGATAATGATGATGATAATGATATTTAAAAATTCCTAATCTAAATTTTTTCCACATTCAACAATGATAATCCTGTTTTCAATCCTTAATTTGATTTTTCGTCGAATTTTTTTTTCCTTTCTTATCGATGAAATATTTAAGCATCGGTTAATTTGCGAAAATTTCACAAGCAAAAGGAAACATTAGACGCACAGAGAAATATTAGAACGTTATGCGATTCTGGAAAAGATTTTTTTTTTTTTTTAACAAAGAGATTCGTGTTACAGTAATCGAGCAATGCTATCGATTATCGTTTCAGGGTATTTAAGCATATTGGTTCACGTTCTTTCGATCCGTCCTTCGATTGTTGCTCTTGTTCATCCGATAGTATTAATATTCTACTATTATTAAGAATGAAGAAATATTATATAAATTCTTCCTTCTCGAGATATTTTCCAATTATAATGGAATGAAGCTTCATCCATTATGGAGTAGTAAGAATGTTGAAACTTATTTACAGAAATTGTTGAAAATAATTTTCCTTCTGGAACAATACATGATTCGCAATTAATGTTTAACGATGATAATGATGATGATAATGATATTTAAAAATTCCTAATCTAAATTTTTTCCACATTCAACAATGATAATCCTGTTTTCAATCCTTAATTTGATTTTTCGTCGAATTTTTTTTTCCTTTCTTATCGATGAAATATTTAAGCATCGGTTAATTTGCGAAAATTTCACAAGCAAAAGGAAACATTAGACGCACAGAGAAATATTAGAACGTTATGCGATTCTGGAAAAGATTTTTTTTTTTTTTTAACAAAGAGATTCGTGTTACAGTAATCGAGCAATGCTATCGATTATCGTTTCAGGGTATTTAAGCATATTGGTTCACGTTCTTTCGATCCGTCCTTCGATTGTTGCTCTTGTTCATCCGATAGTATTAATATTGAAAAGAAAAAAAAAAAAAAAAAAAAAATAGCTTCGCAACGACTTTCATTAATAACACGACCACGTGTGAATCAATGTCGAAAGGGAGTAGTTGAATTCGATGGAATTAACAGTGACGATTGATTTAATTAGCGTTCGACAATTGCACGATCCAATTACACAATTTCATGGATGATTGGAAATAATATGTCCCCTGTAGCTGACGTATCGATAGATCAATTATCTCATCGATTCTAATTCTTTGACGTCACATTGTTTCTATTGTTTCTATTATTCTATTGTTTCTATTATTCGTTTATCAAAAATTTAATAAACACGTGAGATTATTTTACACGAGATTATGCCAATCATTATTTATAGTTAAATTTAAAAAAATAAAATAAAATAAAATCACATTGAAATCATTTTTTTATATATTTGTTATTACCATTAAAGAAGGTGGCTTCCAATTAAAATTTTGCCCTCCTCGTTATTTTAATATCTAATAACTTACGAGCCTTCTTAAAAGATAAAAGATGTGTGAAATTTCAAATCACTGATATATCACAGAATACACATAAAAATCTATTGAAACAAATGAAATTATTATTTATATTATATTTGATAAAAAATGAAAATAAAATTAGCAAAAATCTTGATATAACAAATGAAAATTCTTTTGATCTTGAAAAACAAAAAAAAAATACCAAATAAGTTATTCCATCTTAAGAATTTTTGCCAACGATTTATACTTTTCTAATATTCCCCTTTTAGATCCGATACAAAAAAACAATAGAAATCGTACGAATGTGCACGGAACGTCTAATTGTTGGCCTTTCAAAATCAGGAAGAAGACCATTACACGAAATTGTTATAAGCAGCATGATTACCCATGCCTTTGCAAGACGGATAAAGACGCAACGAAACATTATAATGTCCGGCGCATTAGCGGTCTAATTAAATTATGACAAGGACGCTCGCCTTGAATTCCCTGTTGCAATACGAATTCGTGATGCGTTAATAATCCGTAATTGACGGATGGAAACGTATTGTCGTTCGAGATTAGCATCGTGATCATTCGAAGAAAACGGGGACACTAGGTCCATTCATTCGTTCGTTCGTTCGTTCGTTCGTTCGTTCGTTCGTTCGAATGAAAACAAAATAATCGATAAAAAGGAAAAAAAAAAAGAAAAATTTAATAAAAGGAAAGAATTGCATATCAGAGATAAGCTAATTTAAATACAAATGAATTGATTTTCCAACAATGATGTTATTATCGACATGCGCAAACAAATTTTATTGTAATTCATTCGAGATATTTTCGAGTCTGTGACAGATTCGAGAGAAAAATATAAAGTTTATCGTTTTTTTACACGATGAAAGGGAAGTTTTTAAAAATTATTTCCATATCAAAAGAAAAGTGATAAGACGATAAAGTAAAAAATATTATCGATTGAAAAGAAAATTCACGCACGTTCGTAAGTTTCGTTCGAACAGTTTGAAAGAATGAATAAAAATAATTATTGTTATATAATAAAGAAAAATTTCCTCCTCCTTGGAAGATGCATTGAAAAATTAAAATCAAACGATGATCGCCTAAAGGAACACGATGATTATGACATTTACAAGGCTAAAACAACGAAGAAAAAACAGAATCGTTAATCGTACTTTCACTTTATGGCTCTGTGCAAACTATTCCATATTTCCATATTTCATGCGTATCTTCGTTCATCGTCAGAAACATAGACTAAATTTATTTATATATTAATAATTATCTACCAATTTCCTTTTTTATTAAATCATCTCACGATGATTCTTTGAAATTCCAGAAATTCTACCGATTATTCTATACTGTACAAAATACTCTACAAGATTAGCAATAAAATTTCTCATACTTTCATTTGCCCGTCGATATGAAGGCATACTGGTTTACTACCTATCTATCAGCTAGGCATGTCAATCGTTGATGTGGAAATTGTGAAAGTTGATGGAAATAGAGGTTTACTGTAGGAGAAGCCTTCAATCAAATGAATAAAATTTTCGTTTGATTCGAGCAATGAATTTAAAACGTATCACAGCAGTGTTCATAAAATGATCCATTTTTTATATAGGCGAAAGATCGATATAGGGAAGAGATACGCGAAAGAAGAATCAAAGATTCACAGATCATAAGTGTAAAAATGATAGGATTAAATATAAATATTGGAATAAACTTAATTTGTGTCAATCATGTCGCTCTGGATTGAAAGATTTGACGGTTTCTCGTGAGATTTTGCGGATATCGAACTAAAATAAAAATAATAAAGATGACCGATAATAATACTTGAAAAAATAAACTTACCGTAAAGTGGACCAATCACAACCATAACGATAACCATGAGCATCAACACCCTTTTCTGTCGATTATTCCTCCCCTGTTTGAACGCGACGCGGAAAGTCTCCTCGATATGCCTGAACGCGAAAAAGTCCAAGATCGAGGCGCACACAGACATCCTCTCCTTGTCCGTTTTTTCCATTTTCTTCAAATACGGCTTGGGCGGTTCCTTGATCACCACTAACCCGTAAATGAAACTCAATACGTAGCACACGGTCGAGATGCTGAATACACCGTAGAATCCAAGCTTCAGATACAATATCCCGGACAACGCCATCCCGATCGGGACACCGAGCGACAAGAAAACATTAGCGGCACCGATTCTCAGCGTCCTCGATTCGACGGACGTGATATCCGCGATATAACTGAAAACACCCATGAACATGGTGAACCAGCCCCCGGTCAAAGCTGGCCAAAGTGCCTCGAGCACGCCCGTGGCTTCCATGGGCACCTCGTGGAAGAAGTATGTGCACAACAGCATGCTGACGCTGCTCAGAAACTCGCCAACGATGGGCAACAGCATGCACGGCTTCCTCAATCCCGTACGATCGCTCCACGAGCCCATGAACAGGATCAGGATGGTCGGTAGACCGCTCGACAGGGCTGTTTTCCACGTCTGCATACCGGCGACCAATTGTTGAACCGCCGTTTCCTCCGTCTCGTAGCCGGTCGTGTTCCTCCTTGCCAATGCCGTGCACACGTCGTCGGGATAGGCCAAGTTCACCCTGCACGCTTTTTCCAAACTCAGATTCTGCGTGGCCAGGGAGGCCAGCATGCAGGGGATCACGTAGCAAGCGATCATAGGCTCTACGGTGATGTTTCTTGTGAAGTAAGACCATTTCTGGCGTAACGTCATGGATTTCCAGACGACCGCTTTCTCGGATATCACCTGGTTACCGGTCGTCTCTCCCCGTTCTTTTCCATCGTGGACGAATTAGTAGTATTGTCAGCCATCTCTCCTTAAACAAACGCCGAGTTATTCGAAAAGTATGTTTAAATATATGTTCCTGCTATTTTTTTTTTTTTTTNTTTTTTTTTCTCGTAGTAGTATGAGTCTGTATCATATAACTCGTATCCCCCAAACGTTAACTCCTTGCCTCCAATGTTGTCCCGATGTGAAAAGTGAGAAAAAAACTTTCAAACGTTTATAATTAGAATCATGCGGAAGATCGGCGGCGAAGAGATCACGGTTTCAGACTCCTGGTGGTACCGGGTGTTCAATTTCAATTCTTGAAAGAGGTGGAGCAGATCCTTTCGATATCGATCGAATCATACGCGTGTGACATGAATCCTTCTCCCTTCCTTGGCGCTATCTCCCTCTGGACCGATTTTAGACGTTCGGTTTTCCTCAAAGTAAACTCTCCGCTCTTCGATAGACCGAATTTCAATCGGTCCGTGGGAGAGACCGTCTGACCGTCTACTCCTGGCTAATGCACCATTGTGCATTACGATACGCGTTTACCTCTTTCCCTTCTTCTTCCTCTCGGCCACCTCCTGGCTCTGCCTGTTCCTCCACCACCTCCGTGTTCCCTCCATCTGTCGGAGAGTAGTAGTTCGAGGGTACATCCACCTAGCCAGCTCGTGACACGACGAAACGTTGCCGGTGCGAATCGTTTCTAACGACGATCGACAACCACGCGCAACGTCCACGCTTCCGGTTCCGCTCTTGGACACTTTTTCGGGTCAAGGTTAGAGGCACGAAAGGATTCTCAAATTCTTCGATCGAAAATTCGACGCTTGTTGTCGACCATTTAATTGGGTAATTTTTTTAAATTTTCAATATTATCCTGAGAGGATATTTTTGGGTACCGTCTGTTTTAAGATTTTTCGTTCGAGCCTTCGATGATTATTCGAGTGCATATACGACGTTTGATTTGAGAAAAATGATCAAGGAATTAAATGAGAAATTACGGAGCATTCTTCATATTCGTTTAATTCGTACAAATGAAAATAGTATCTTGAAATTCACAACATTGAGATTATTTCATGTCTAAGCGTTCTCCTTCTATATAATAGATATTAGGTTTTTAAATTATTGATTAATTTTTTGTTTATTTCTCAAACGTTTCACTTTAAATTTAAGGAAATATGGGTCAAGCGCAAACACTTATTTGTCTCTGTTCAAGTTCTTTTTTCTCTATTTGGATTTTTATCGTATATCAGGAGAATATATATATATATATGTAATCTTAATGTTCTCAAAAAAAGAACAATTCCGCGATAATCTGGTTTTACTTCCTTGAAATAAAATGACTCTTTATAAATAAAATATCGTAAATTCATGATAAGATATCGATCCAATATTTATTACTTTAAATGTTTAAGATATTGAATACATATCGAATGAATAATTCGATCGTACAATTTAAAGAAAAAACTTTTTAAAATCTCAATCAAATGTTCTTCGATATGTTTAAAAAAAAATAATTCATTCCTCTTCATCATATATATATATATATATCATCAGCTCTTAGAAAAAGAAACAGCATTCTTCCATTCTCCCGTGATCGAAAATACGCGTAAACATTACGAGCACGTTGAAAATTATTTCTTCTCTGGTAGGGCAGAGATGAGGTGCCGTTTAAATGTGGCAATTTGTTGATAAAATAATCACAACTGTCTTGTCTTCAACAGCTGGAGCCTATTTCAGGCAGGGCCGTGTTCCCTCCCTCATGAGGCCACCTAGAACGATAAATTAAATGTTAAATATATGCATATTCTCAACAACTATCATTCGCATAACAGATCTTTGCTATCCTCTAATTACGCTCTCCTGGCCGATCAATTGTGGCAATTACACTTTTTTCGTCACTCTCGATGGCCTCAAGACGGCCTTTCTTGGATTCTCGATTTTCCATTGAAATTTGATCAATGTCGCGAACAAACGTTTCGATACAAAGGAAAAGTACTCGATTTTTACTCGACGATACGAAAATTCAACGTGACTTCCACAAGATCCAAGATGAAAGGAATATACTTGCTTGCAAAGGGTTGAAAAAAAAAAGAAGAGAAAATTACGAGAATCGTAGGAACTCGTGGCAAGATTATAGAGGTGTGTGAGTTACGGCCCTGGCTCTTAAGTTGATCGTATGACGTCGTCAAGTGAGTAATGCTCGTAATTCGAGCAATGCTATAAAATATTCGATTCAGAGCCGTAACAGACCCCGTTGTTTTCGTGTTTCCCCGGCACGTCCGCTGGCACCGCGTGCATGAACTCGGAACAGACCGCGTCGATGATAGAGGGACTGGCAATCCATGCTTCGCTCGTCCTTCCCTTTTCATCATCCAAGTCATTCGTTTTAATTAATATAAATTTAATATAAGATTACGGCGAAATTTTAAGATTCGCGATGATTTTTCAATGAGTATGCGTTAATCTAAAGATTAAGATAAAATCTTAATGGAAATATTTTATCTCGATTATTATCGAGCTTATATTTTAGCGATGAATGATATACGTATATGACGATTCATACGTATATTAACTAACTTAAATTATATCCATCTAATTCAAATCGATCGAAAAGTTTGTATCTCCTATAACTGTTCGACTTTTTGGGATACAATATTTCTAGAGATCATATTTCAGTTTGTTACGTGGTTTATTTATTTAATGAGTTTTTTTTATAACTTTTATGAGTCATAATGATAAATTAGTTAGATGTGATTAATAAGAATCATAAACATCCTTAATTTTATTTTATCGATTTATTTCGATTTCAAATGAATCATGAATATTTTATCGATCGTTACCTCATTTAAGAGACACATGTATCAAAATGCAACTCTTTTATTGCAAGTCAAACAATAAGAAATGATAAACAACGTTTTATGTTCCTTTCTCTTGTTGTGTCTTGTGCTTTGACGAATGGTTCGCGTGTACAGTTTTTAATAAAAAATATCAATCATGCGATTCTCGATAATTGTAATTCTAATTTTATTTAATGAAGAATTACAAGAACTTCGTAATCTCTGAAAGACAATTCTTCGCCGTCGAAAGGTATGTACAAGCATCCGTGACTGGCTTGAACCTGTAAAAAAAGAATATATTCAATGATCATTCTCGTTTCTTAATCTCATTGTTAAACATTGTTAAAAGATATGTTATTTATTCAGGTGCAATATCATTTATTCTAATTTACATAACACGTGTCAGACTCGATTAAAATCATTGTTAAATTAAAGTATATAGATTTCCTGTACGACAAAAGAAACAGTAAACTCCGACCTTGCCAACTGTTTGGGATCCATTATGGAGAACACGGCCAACATACAGAGGTTCTCCACTAGAGGTCTGTCCTACGACTATCGCATCACTTGGGATATCTCCATTGCTGCAGAACTCCCATGCGAATTCTCCTTGACACAAAACCTACAGAAAAAAATAAGATAGCTTAATAACAATAGAGTTTTCGTCCATTAAAATTTTATCTTGCATCATGAACGTACATCGTGAAACATTCAAAAAGAAAAAACACGATGATCGTTTTAATATTTTGATAATATTTCATGTTTCTCTATCTATGGAATGTAAATATGTTTTCAATAATTATAATTTCTTATCTCTTATCTATACAATGTTTGATGAAGTGTTATAAAAAATTATTGATATAAAAAATTTAACGCGATTCAAAAGATATTCGTATTCTTATAACGATGATGGCACAATAAATTAAAAGACAGAGTGAATCGTTTGAATGAATTAAAAATCAAGATAAACGTATAATGGAATATTTGAATCATCATTTAGTTAGCTTGTATTCGTTTTCAAACTCATCAAGGAAAACTAATTCCAAATTGTGAAGCCGAAGAGAGCTAAAGATTGATGCAAATCGTATAAATCGTATTCCAATTTTACAGTATGTTTGCCTTGACATGAAATCACGATTCCGTGTTTAAAAAGTGCATAAGAAGACTGTTTATAATTAAAATGAAGATTACAGTCATTGTTAGAAAAATTTTTTTGTTAGAAAAATATTTACTGAAATTATTGAAATTCTCAAACTTTGTAACTTCATTTGTAATTTAATTTTAATTTATAATTTTTTTTTCTCTCTCAGGGATAAAAGAGCAAGATAATGAACGATAATGGAACATTTTTGTCGGTATTAAGATTAGATTGCAGGAAAAATTTAATCCAATTCAACAAGATATGATATATTAAATTTTTAATTCGATTTTACTTAAATTTTACAATTTAATTTAACAAAATTATTATATCCTTTAACTAATTTTCAAATTTGAATTAGAATTGAATATTATTTCATTTATGAAAAATTACTTATTGAAATTGAAAAATAAGATTATATAGTAGGGATAATTAATTTTTTAAAATTCTTGAAAGAACTATTATTAAAATTATTTCAGATTTCTTGCTTTTACTGTTATTTTTAATATAAAGATAATTTTAGCAAAAGCAATATTGATTTTTATTGAAATAGAAACATGATTACGTATATAACTTTTATTATTTTTATTATTTTATTATTTTAATGAAAAAAAAAACAATTTTTTACTCACATCGAAATTGTATTTAGAATGTTCTTCACCATTATGACATACGTAGGCGACATTTTTATCAGGGATTATTTTTGCTGGAAGCATATCACCTTCGTGAAAGGCTCTGCCAACATAAATTAAACTACCATCTACATCACGACCTCCGAGGACCGCAGTTTCCGGCAATCCTTGCCCTGCGTTTCGGTTTAACCACCTATAAACTTTAATTAAAATAATTTTTTAATTTGCAATTATTTACATTGTTACATAATAAATTATTTAATAAAAAAGGATATTCACGTATTTATTCTGTAATAAAATTATTGTTTATTTCAATATATAGATATATTGAATAATAGATAAATGTGATTCAACATGAACAAAATTTTATGATATTTTATATATTTTATATAAAATATACTATGATAAATAATAATGTGTAAATAATGTGTAAATAATAGAAATGTAAATATAACAAATTTTATGATTTAGATAATTGTTTCTTGATAAGGTTTTTTTTGCAAATCAATTTCTCGGCTGAAAAAAGAAACAAATAAAGATGTACAATATACATTTTTTTAATTTTATTAATCTATGAATGTAACTTGTGATATTTTTAATCAATATTTATCGATGAAGTATTTTAACATTTGAATTAATACTAAATAGAATTAAAATTTATTAGAGGAAGCTTAAAAATATATTAAATTTTCAAAAATTTTAAAAGTTTTCAAATATATTATTAAAAAAATATATAAATACAATAATTTTAGTTAGATAATTTTATATAATTTTATAATGTAACTTACCTGGCATCTTTAGACTTGATATAAATGAAACTTCAAAAAAGAGTGACGCTTATCTTTCACCCGCACCTGATTAAAAGCATGTAATCTTATCATATATATGTTGTAATATTTGTATTCTTTTTATAATATTTATACTCTCTAAATTGTGACTGATCTTTTCTTTGAAATATGAATTGATCATCAATAATGATATGATTTTTGAAAATGTTTTCTTATCAAATAAAAAATGATTTTTTCTCATGATTATTAGAAAATATTTCTAAAGATAATAATAATACTTAATTAAAATACATTATAGACAGTTTAATATATTATAATCAATTTTTTAAATATTTTTTTAAAATATTTTTCATACTGAAAAAATGACATAATAAATTTTTTTCGTTAATTTTATTATATACAGATATTATTTTATTATTTAAATACAAATACAAATTTTGTTTATAAATAATATAATAGATTAAAATATATTTCTACAAATAGGACACGTGGACTTTTGACTTGTACTAAACCATTTATACTGAAAAATAAAAATTTTTGTATTAATGATACAAAATTTCAATAAAAATAAAGACGAGAAACTTACCAGGCATGCGGTATGAAATTTCTTACGACATGTGTGACAAGATAATTTTGGTATTTGATACGTATTTATGTGAAAAATACTGAAACATATATAACATTCTTCAACGCCGGCGAATTTCTTATCTAAATTTCTTTTCCATAATGCAAGTCCATCCCAAACAGATCCATTCTAAAACAATTGACAAAATAAATATTTAAATAATTGTTTAACTTCAGTTAAACTTAATTATTTAATTCTGATTCATTATTACTTGATGTGTAAGAAATATGGACAATTGCATGTGACAATTTCGCCAATTCGCAGTACCACCTGCGTGTTGTCCAGGTTCAACGCTAACTGGTCCCAAAGGATGATTAGACGGCAATGTAATATTAAGTTCTAATTTTGTATCATCCATTTGATATAAAGCTATCACTTCACGGAATGTTGGATGTACTTTTACTTGCATGTTTTCAATATTTTGTAATTTGTTATTAAGAAGTTCCTCTTGACAAAGCATAGGACTAACATAATGTGTTGTGATCTTATCCACGGCAGCGCTGACTCTACTATCAGCAGTACTCCACCATTGCCTTACCAATACTGGTAGATATCTTAAACTATTCGTATATAACCAACATACAATATGATCTAATCTCCATTCCGTCCAACTTTCTATAAAATATTATGAATAAACATTAAAAAAAAATTATAGACATGTAATAAAAAAGAAAATGACTTAAATATTAGTACCACCAAAGTCTAGACATGGTTCGGTAGAAAATATTTCCATTAATTTTGTACCCTTGTTTTTATTATCTTGAAGTACTTCTACAGGCATTAATCGAAAAATATTATTTAATAAATTAGGAAAAAAGTTATTTCTGAAATAAAAATATGTTTTTTTATTATTTAATATCAATTTAAATATTAATAAACTTAGAAAACTTAGATAATAATAATCATAATATTTATAATATATTATTTTCATATTATAAAACATAAGTAAGTAACATATTTACTTAAGTATTTCAGCATATTGATACAACAAATCTCCATGAGCATTTGCACACATATCTAGAATGATAGCCCATGATAATAAATATCCAATAGTGTAAGTATAAGAATCTGTATATGGTTGAATAGTACAACTCACAGTATCGCATAATCTACAAATTATATATTAAAAATGTATTTTTTGTTAAAAAAAAAAAAAAGAAAAATGCTCACTTAATATATAATGCTTACTTAAAATCCATTAAAATTGTATTTACGATATTTTGCGTGTTCTGAAGTACATCTTCCATTTTTTTAATGTTTAAAGAATTTGCATCAAAGTTTTCCAATTCAACAGTCGTTTTATCCTGTTGTACAAGCACGGGAACTGTATGTTTTAATATATGATATGCACCTAATTGTATACTAGGTACAGGAGATTGGAGTAATTTTGATGTTAATTTAACAGTTGATGTAAGAGACACATTTGATTGATTTTTGAAGATTACATTTCCATTCAATATTTTAATTGCTTTTCCTAAATAATCCAATAGTACAACAGATTTTGAAACTGTTGTTTTTTGATTGTATGATTCTGTAACAAAGCTTAATTATAAATTACAGAGAAAGAGAAAGTAAGAGCGAGAGCGAGAGC